TGGGAGCTCTGAAGATCTCATGACCTTGTGCACAAAGATGTTCCTTGAGACCTAGCATGATGATGTCTTTTAAAAATCTCATTTGTTTCCATGACAGTGGTTATGTAACAGATTCGCACGTTGTCAGATAAACATAGGAAAAGTTTTAGGGCAGAAACCATCCACCCAAGAGGTTTCCTGGGTATAGATACAGGCACATCTTTGAAAAGAAGCATCCCTTATGCTTATAGCATGTAAGGAATCTCTAGGCCTGAAAACATTTAGTTAACTGAAAAATATATTACTAGATAAAACAAAGATTAATTTCCTAAAATTTAGACACCACTAGAAGCAAAAACCTACAGTTCATTTTAAGGATTAATATTACCTCAAAATGGAGAGAATTGGTGAATTAAAAAAAAAAAAAGGTTCTATTGTTCTGTTGCAGCTACCATCAGCTGAAGGTCATATTCCTAGAAGGGAAAAAAAGGAAGCAAGTGCCTGTTAGTTAAAAAAAATCATGAACAGCTAAGTTAAGATGCTACTGGGAGACTGGGTTCTCACAGAGGAAATGCCATAGCTAAATAAACCTTTGGGACAAAAACAATAAAAGCAAACATTTATGTCTGAAGGTGAAGGACTTCCTTGTAGCCAGTTGTCTGAGTCTGTTCAGTAACTCGTATCTTCTCAAGTCCAGGTAAATGACTATAAATTACAGGCAAAAATAATCTATTAGGAGGACAGTAACCTTGACATACACCAAGTAAAAAAGCAGTACCACAGGCCACAAGTTATGCCCAGCAGAATGTTTCCTGATGTTAATCAAAGACAGCCTCTTAGGAAATGAGCAGGAATACTCTGTTTTTTCAAGTCAAACATGAGGTAGTTCAAACAGGATTGGGATTTGGACAGCAAACTTGACCATATTCTAGAATTAGAAGGTCTTGGCATAGTGGTTGAGTCCTGGGATTCTACAGGGAAGTAGCTTGATACCAAAACTCTCTTGGATTTTTTCTGTGCATGAAGATCATTGTTGCTGAAGAGACGTATCAGCGAAAAAGCCTAGAACAGCTTCCCCAATTGGGGAAGCTGACAGCTTCCTTTGGACACAACCTGTCCCAACCAGGAACAGAAATACTGGCACATCTTGTTAGATTCCAGGATGGACAGTTCAATTCTGGAGTGCCCCGATCATAAAAGGTGATTTCTAAGATGCCATTCCACAATGCTTGCAACCCATTAAATATATAAGTCTATGTACTCATATATATGTTTGGTTTCAGTGATCAGTGCATTACTTTCACAGATCTTGTAATATTTTATTTTGCTGATACAGAACATAGTAGTGATATTATATCAGCTGTAAACAGGGAGGCTGAAAGGACAAATTGATTCAGGAACAGAAGGCCTGGTGTGTTACCTTTCACCATGGTTTCTAGAATGCTGTAATTTGCACCCAACAGGTACTGCAAGTCTTGAGCTTTCATGTGAATTCCTTAAAGCAACTCCTTAGCCACAGACAGAAGCATGTATCACTACTAACCTGGAAAGCAGAAGTCTACTGTTCACATGATCTGACACCTGTTACCACTGCAGGGAGTCTCATAACTCCCTCATCACCATCAAGAAGAAAACTGGGAAACAGTTGAGCAAATAACAGTTCAAGTTACTTCTGCAAAGATTTCATATAGAGGCTTGTAAAACAACAAACCGAATTTTCAAACTGTCAAGCATGAACCTGCTAGCTAGCTGCAACTGGTATGGGCTGGTTGTAAATTTTTCTAACATCAGTGACATGTTCTGATCTTCCAGTTAATAAAGAGAAATGACACAGAACTACCAGTTAGGAAGCTGATCACTGGTTTTGCAGACAGACTAGATGAAATACAATGGGGGCTTGGGAGCCTAGAAAGAAGAGGGTGAAGATTCTGGGTAGTTGAGGGTGATCCTGGAGATCAGAGATGGATGGAGACGAACGCTTGGGGAATGCCCTGGGACCATGGCCTGTAATGCCTGAGACTGTTAACTGCAAGAAGCTGCAAAGCAGGTATTGACATAACTTTCTTCTCCATCCTCCCAGACTAGCAGTGATTCTCTGGCTGGGAAGGAAAGTTGAGACGTCAGTAAACACAACACCAGGGTGGGGGGCAAGTGAGGGACTGTGTAAAAAAAAAAAAAAACCCAAACCAAAAAACACCCCACACCAACCAACCAAGAAAAAAGAAAAAAACAAAACCAAAAAACCAAACCAGTAACCAGACCCACTACAGGCTGCCATTTACTCCCTCACCTGTGACACCATCACTACACATTTGTTGATGATTCAACTACATTGTACACTGTCTTTCATTAACTGGATTTGAGACTTCCATTCATTGCAGACAGCTCAGAGTCCTGGAAAACTGACGTAAAACACCTGCGCCTTTTGAGTTTGCTGTCCTGTGCATGTGGCCACTTGAGTGTCCCCTCAGTCCAGAACAAGACATTTATCTCTATCGTAACCCAGTCAGGGAGAACTGAAAAAGCATTTAGGTACATACATTGACCTGGTTTTGACAACACAGAAGGGAATTTTCCTTTTGTCACAACCTGCTTTTCTAGACTATATAGAGCAAGAGAAGACACTAAATGAAGTCACATTTGAAGACAGCAAAATAATTTTGAAACGAAGCAAGAAACAAGAGGCCCTGAGCCCCAGGAAAGACATACCATTTATTAAAATACATAGCTGAAAGGTCAAGCTCTGAATCATTCATTAAAAACAGGAATCTGTCGGGTTGTAAGGAAGCTCTCATTTGATCTGGAGTTAACAGGAGGTCTAACAGACTCAAAGGGTACAGTTTGAGTGCATGTCAATCTTGAGGCCCAGATACTAGAAAAGTAACTATATCAGGGGCTTCAAAAGACTAACAAACCATCTGCCCCTAATAGCCATTCACTGAGCTAAAGGAAAAACAACATTTCTGATACTCAGCAAATACCCCCAGCATCAGAGAAGACTCTAAAACGCCAGTCTGGATGGAAGGATCCTGAACTGTTATTAGTCATGCAAATGTTATTGGACCATGCAAATGTAGCAGCAAGGACTGGTAGCAATAAAATCTGTTCAAGATCTTAGAGACAGATGCAAAACAAATCTCTTCCTCCTCCTACTGAGTATCTCAAAGACTGTCTGCTGCTTTCAATTTTGAAAACCCAGCCACAGCCAACTTATCTTTTACCTTTTTTATTATTATTAGTTTTTGGGTGGAGGGTGTTTTGTTTTAGGTTTGTTTTGGTTTAACACTAGGAGTGGTCAAGTGCAGAGCCTTGTACCCCAACTGCACTTAAACTGACACCACAAAATTCGTGGACAGCACAGTATCCATTTCCAGGCAAAGCAGATTGATGGAGACAGTTTTTCTTAGTCACTTCTGACAAGAAAATTTAAGACTCCTACTGAATCCCAATCCTACTTTACAAGGGAAAAAAAGAACAAAAACACACACAAAACCTAAAACCCAATTCAAATCAAGTAAGGAACTATGTTAAATATAGAAATACCACCCCACTGTGCAAATGCTGTGAAGAAATAACCTCTACTAAATAAATCCTACCCACAGATAGCAAGGCAGCTAGAACAGTAAATCCTCACCAATCTTTCCAATGATTAGCAGGATAAAAATCTCACAGCAACATCATTTTTTGAGGCATATAAAAACGAAAAAAGCCAAAGGAAAGTATCTCTGGTGCCTGTCAGATATATGGAAGACAGTTAAGTGCTTATTTATATGAACCAGGAGAAAAGTAAAAAAAAACCAAACAAACAAAAAAACCCACAAAAACAAAAAACAAACAACAACAACAACAAAAAAATACCAACCAACCATAAAAAGCATTCCTAGGAAAAAGTCTGGGTGTTTCAAGAATTTGCCAAGAATTACTATGAGTGAACAATAAACACTTTAAAACTATTCTCTTTTAATTTATATCTTAATTATTCCTTCCAAGGGAGACTATTTTACATGGAACTTTCAAATTCTTTTCTATCACAGAATCAATAAGGCTGGAAAAGACCTTTAAGATCATCAAATCCAACCATCAACCCAACACCGCCATGCCCACTAAACCATGTCCCAAAGTGCCATGTCTACACATTTTTTGAACACTTCCAGTGATGGTGACTCCACCACCTTCCTGGGCAGCCTGTTCTCTCTGTAAAGAAGTTTTTCTGCTTCAACACTCTATTGATGCCTGACAAGCAATGGTGACACTCCACATGAACTAAAGACAACAACTGAAAGCAGGTTTTTCCTGTGGACTTAAAGCAGGTTTTAGGCAGTTAATACACACAACTCTTCACTGAACTGTCTCAGCTTAACTCTAACCCATACATTTTCCTCCAGTGAAGATGATGGCATCCTTTTATAGCCTTAACCTCTTGCTAGAGCAAGCCATGGGAGTCACAGTACTTCAGTATATGTATATTTCTGCATTGTCCTTGCTATATGATAGGTTTTCGAATTAATGTTACCTTTTAAAAAGCTGCTAAAAATCTTTGCTTAATTTCACTAGGTATTTCATGTCCTTTTGTTGTTTAAGGGAAGCTAGTGCAATGGATGATTAAGAATGCATGTTTTGTAGAAGTTTATTACAGAAAAGAATTATTCATGTCTACTGACTACACAGTAGAGTCTGCCACAAGTCACTGCAAGAATCAAAATTAATTCTCTATAATATTGCCAGATTAATTTAAACATTTTTTATCACAGTGCAGTAAAATGAAGTAAAACAAAATTCTGCATTGTATCCACTATAGTAATAAACCAACTCATAATATTAAACAAAAAAAGGTGATGACAATAATCGGAACATCAGTGGGAGCATTGGAGCCAGAAAGCCAAGATTCTGGTTTAAATCTTTTATAAGAAGAGATACTTCAGAATACATACAGACAAATTGCATATAGCATTCCTACACAATTAGAAAATGAAATTCAAAAGTACCTTACTAACGAAAGCGCCAAACAAAATATGCCTTACCTGAGTTATTCCACTGGGAGGAATCTTGTATGACTGCAGCTTCTGCTTCAATAGGTCAGGATCACTGTGGCGGAATGGGCACCCTGACAGTAAAAAACAAGCAAGCTCAAAAAACAAGGCTGTTTACCCAGAAGTTAGCGCAGTAAGGCACTCAAGAGACCAGCTAAGCTGTTCCTAATTGTCTAACAGCTTATTAATAGGAAAGTTAATTGCCCATGTGTACAATTGCTTACTTTTTTCTTTTTCTTTTTTTTAAAGAATTACTCTACTGCATAGTTATCAGGGCACCAGAGGCTCAAGAGTTATATAAAGTATCCCAATATTAACAGGCCACAATTCTAATTCACTGACAGGAAAAGAGGGTCAGTTAGTTCCTTACTAACAATGCTAGTGCTGGTACATTTAATAGCTATGAAAAAAATGAGAAAAGGCAAGTAATGAAAGCCAACTGGTCTTTAAAGCATAGTCCTTTGTAAAAATATTACTTTAGAATATTAGTTTATATTACTTTATAACCTTAGAAAGTTCCACCACCTTAAATAAGAGTGGGGGTTTTTTTTGTCCCACAATAACAATGGTGAAGCCAGTGCAGGTTTTCCATGTTTAGTCACACAGAGGTAGGAGGTTTTCAAGTACCCTAGCAAACTTCAGAATTTCTGTACAATTAAATTCAGAACATCCCTAACTGGTCACTTTTTAAAGCATCTATACATTTACAGTCCCCTTACACTGCATGACACGATGTATATAAAACCAGAAGCTATCAAGTGCAATCTAAAGAGAATAGTGCAAGGCCACTGCAGCCTTAAAATTAAACACATAATTTAAGAGACTAAGGGAGGGAGTAATTTCTCTAGCCAAGGGTTTCTGCTGTGTTAAAACTTTCTTTTTTAAGGTACTCACCATGATAATCCCCTTGACTTGGTGGATTGGACATGATAATCTTCATGCAGCTATATGGGGTATAATCAGTTCTCTTTCCTTCTTTCCCATAGCTGTGGCGAATGCTGTAAGCATATCCTTTGTCAAACTAGACAAAAACAAAAGAATAAATTCTTACATACTGTGCTAGTGATTCTATCTGCTCTGCAAATAGAAATATTGGATAACAAAATAAACCTTCCAAACATAATCAAACTGAGAAAAAAAAACCTGAGTTGCTCACTGTTAGCTTTGATTTTTGTATTACATGGAGTTGTATATGCACATATATGTGTTCTTCAGACACATCACAAAAGAAGTGTGTAACTGCATTGATTTAAGGTCTTTACAGCTGATGCAGTAATCACTTTAAATGTAAGACAAATTAAATATTAAAATTTTCAACCCCATGATGTTAGCAAAGGAAGAAAACATAGCAATTTAAGATCTTTCATAAACGTCCATAAATTGGGTGCTTTATCAGGGAAAAAAAAAATAGAAACATAGATTTCTTTACTCAGGTTCACGTTCTTCCAAAACATAACGCTTCACTTATCTTTTGTTTCAGCACTGAAGTTCAATTCATTAGATTCTAAAATGGAGTATACTTCATTGTATAAAAAGAGAAATACTTCTCTTGTACAAAAGATTTTAGAAAATCTCTTTTGTCTACTGATCGACTACCAACCCCTCCAGTAAAATTTAATCTTCTGAAGTAATATAGATGTAAACAAACATTTATCTTGGCAGCTGAGTACAGCACTATCCATGTATTATTTGAGAGAAGTCCTGTGGAAACCATTCAATGACATGAGTTCATGTTATTTTATATGTGGCAATAGGTGACATAAAATCTATAGTAGAATCAGATAATTTAACATAGGGATCCCATTAAGTTGCATTAGCTACTATAAGGTATTAAGGAACATTTGTTCAAATGTTCTAGTTGTAAAAAAAAACCGAATAGGATAAAATAATAAAGCATCATATTTAGAATTACACATTCTCAGTCTCTCTTCTCCTCAAAAAATATATGACAATATATAAAAGAACTGTGCTCTTGCTCAATTCAAAATTTTAGCACTAACCTTATGTAAAGTTCTGTGTCTGAATTAAATGTGAACAACTGCCATAAGAATTTGTTTCCTTCTCAAAAACCACTCTAAAATAATTTTTGCTCTTATATTTTGCCAGCATAAGACAATGTAACATGCTGAGAAAAATAATTCAAGCATACAACTGTTAACACTACTACTTCAAGAACACTCTCATTTCTACAGATAAAAGTAGTTCCCTGTTTGGCCCTTGGACTTCCAAATAGTAATTCAGAACATACAGATACCTATATGAAATACCTTGACCTGCTAAAACAAGTCTAAAATAAAACAGAAAAATAAGTATATTTTTCTTCATATAAAGCACTTCCAACACTTTTGAAAAATATAAATAATTGAAAAACTATAGAATGGTATGAAAAACTATAGCATGGTATGTAAATAAATAATAAATGTGTATAATAATATACACAACCTTTGAGGATAACATCATAAATTGCACCTTATTCTGGATCGGTAAAAAAAGAAACTTCTCTATCAAGATGCTGGTCATGATCAAGACAATGTATCAAGAAGAGTAATATGCAGCATTCCTTCCAAATAAGTTTTAAGACATCCAAAGCTCTGAACAAATATTGACTAATTAATCCTTACCATGCATTTGACAAAGTGACTTTACTCTGTTTTAAAAGGTTTAAAAAAAAAAACCAAAAACAAAAAAACAAAACGAGAAAACAGAGAGCATTGTATTTTCCAGCATAGCCACAGGCAGGATCCAGCACATAGGAATATTCCTATTGAGTCAACCATTTTTCCCCAGGCGAGAAAAGAATTGGTTGGCTGAAGAGTAACCCAATGCTACTTTCGCTCGCAGCAGAGAGTTGGGCTTACCAACTCTTCATTAGAAAGCAGAGTAAGACTGTATGAGGACCCGCTATAGGTGTGGGCCTATACTCGGGAAGGGCGGGTGGGAACAGGTACCTTCCCCTTAGCAGGGCAAGCAGCAGCCACTGGCTGAGTCCTCCTGCTGCTCCTGCAGGAGCTGCAAACGGCATATTTACTCCTGAAAAACAGCAGACATCAAAGATGAAGATGTGCGTATTTTAATTCCCAACCTCTGAGTCAATCTGTTAAACTGAAGATGGAGTCTGTGATCCTATATCCACCTATTCTTCCATCCAGAAGGTCTGGAACCTTTTCTCCTTTGCAAAAAATGAATGAATGCATATTTCATTTGCTTAACAAAGGATATTTGAGCAATCAGTTAAATTAGATTAAATTAGTTTTTTGTAAGCAAATCTTGAATGCTTCAGGATGTATTGCTTAGTTTGCCAGAAAATTAACACCCCTCTAACAGTTCTGTATGCAAAAATCTTGAGCTGTACTTTTCACATCACTTGCCTTAATGCCCACAGAAATTACTTTTACTACCTAACTCATTATTTTATGCTGAGAAGTAGCTCGTGCAGTAAATAGAAACAACAGCTACATAATAACACAACGCGACCCTGGAGCAGGTTGGATATTTTCCTCATTGCTTTCTTGTAACCCTGTTTGGATCTCAGAGTTTCCACAGTGGCAGATGGCAGAGAAGAACACAGGTACATGGTACAAGTTAGCACACGTGCAGTTATGTGCTTCATTAAGAGCTCTCTCATCCTTGTGATTCAGCGCTTCCTATCATTGATTAAGGAACCAGGATTTTAGCAGGGCCAATATCTGTCAGGCTGTGTGGTCATCCTCAGTGGGAAGAAACCATGAATTGTGGCATTTCATTTCCAAAAACACATCCTGAGGAAAAGCCCTCTCTGTACATTGGGGGATGAACTCAATGATCAGATTTGCTCTTTCCCAATACCATAACCCCAGGATGTGCACAAAGGAAAATCCTCCTCAGGAGCAATCCCTTTTGCCAGCAAAAGCATGAAGGTATAATTAGCCATGTTTGAAATGTGCAGAAATGAGAAGGCAGAGGTAGGGAACTGTGCCCTCCAATTTATTCAAACACCCCAAATTGAAATCTTGGGATTTTCGCAGCAGTATGAATTTTTGTTTTAGAAGACTGCAAGTCAACTGTCTGAGCTTTAACTTGATCCCTGAAGACAGAGAGTTTTTTGAGGACTTCTCTTTCCTCCAGCCATGGCTGAAGGATGCGTGTGATGCCTGGTCTGAGGGGTACTGCCGATGACGAGTGGGTAGTTTTCAGTTTTTATGCATCAGTGTTTGTTGTAATTAACCAAGGTGTCCAGAGTATGGTACCAAAGGTACTAATGATGATCCTGGGTATCCTGGAACAGGTGACACTGAGGCTTTCTTAGACAACTTCTCCCAATAAGAAACTAAGCTCTTAGCACTGATTAGTGGGACTAAACCAATAGTCCAAAGCCAGAATCAAGAGGCTGTGGGACAGTTCACTGGGTATAGAGGAGTGTACCATAGCAAGGAACTTACATCTTGCTTTTATATGGTATATTCCCATGAGTATCAGACTAAAGCAGATTAATTTGCCCTATAACTGTTAGTTAAGGCACACATACCATATTAGACAGACTTCACTAGAAGCTAGACAAGTTATCAATTAAGGCATAAGTAAGATATAAATAAAAAAGTATAAAGAAAAGAAGATATGTAAGCTATAAATTTGCAACTGGTATAGCCTAACACCTACTAAGTTCCAGATAGGACTTGAAGGAAATGCTATTTTCAGTAAATTCTATTCACACAAGATCTTTGGATATGGAACGAGGATGTACATCAAATGGACCTTTTGGCACCTTTGAAGAAAAGCTTCTATCAATTTCATACAACTGAATACAATTTCAAAGGAGAACAATTACAAACGACATTCCCAAGGCATTCCACTGCAAAATAAGTAATATCATCACTGAGAGTTACCTTCTTTATATCACTTGTCATATTTGCAGATTATTATCTGGAAATAGAACTATTGCCCAGAAGACCAACCATATCTTGGGCTGCATCCAAAGCAGCGTGGCCAGCAGGTCGAGGGAGGGGATTCTGCCCCTCTGCTCTGGTGAGACCCCACCTGGAGTCCTGCATCCAGCTCTGGAGCCCTCAGCACAGGAAAGACATGGACCTGTTGGAGCAGGTCCAGAGGAGGGACACAAAAATGATCCGAAGGATGGAACACCTCTTCTGTGAGATCAGGCTGAGAGAGTTGGGGTTGTTCAGCCAGGAGAAGAGAACTTACTGCAGCCTTCCAGTACTTAAAGGGGACTTAGAAGAAAGATGAGGACAGACTTTTTAGCAGGGCCTGTTGCAATAGGACAAGGGGTAATGGTTTTAAACTAAAAGAGGGCAGATTTAGGCTAGATATAAGGAAGAAATGTTTCACAATGAGGGTGGTGAAACACTGGCACAGGTTGCCTAGAGAGGTGGTAGATGCCCCATCCCCGGAAGCCTTCAAGGTCAGGTTGGACGGGGCTCTGAGCAACCTGATCTAGTTGAACTGCTCATTGCAGGGGGTTGGGCTAGATGTCCTTAAAATGTCCCTTCCAACCCAATCTATTCTATGATTCTAACTCACTAGGTCCTCCATAAGTTTTGTTATCAATTCTGACATTCAGCATGCATATTAGGATGGCAAATAATTTGCTTACAGGTCTTCCAAGCCCTGTGTGCTCAGGTTCACACTTCCCCAAAACTTTCATGTTTCAGTTTAACTCCTTTTATATACTCGTGTAAGTTTTTATGCATCTATTACTTACAGTACAGCAAGATTTATTTATTTAAAGTCTAACAACTAAGCAAAATGACTGCAATAATTTTGTCTAGCTTCTTGGCTGACCACCAGATTAGTTCCAACTCTGCAAAATTCAAAGAGTAACGGTTTAACACCTTTTTTTTTAAGCATTGGGTAATTTCCTGTCTAAAATTGTTGAGCCTCTATGGATAACATCTTCAAATTCATAAATTTATCGCACACAATGTTTATCTTCTGAAATAACTGGTTTGCTTTTTCATCCATTTCCTAGGCAGTCACTCAAATCGTTACTATTGATACTGCTTAGTTGGCATATCTTTTTCCAAGCAA